GAAATTCATTGTTTAGTATTTAAAGATTTTTTTTTTATTTTTTTTTAAAGTATAGCTGTTTGAAGTTGAACAGAATGGCTGAAGATGTTTCCTCTGGCATCTCTAAACCAATAATGGTGGATGCCAGGGGCAGTAATGAATAGGGAATAGATCACTCTGGATCAGTGCTCTTCTTTTAAAGCATCCATTCCTGCCATTGTTGGAGGCAGAATACCGGGCTCTGTGGACAGTTGGTCTGACCTGGTATGCCACTTCTTATGTAAACTGTTAGTTGGAGGATACAGGTGGATATATGTAGAGGTTTTGTTAGTTGACAAAATGATTTTCATTCAGCTAGATCAGGGGTGCTCAACCCCTGCCCTGTGGGCCAGATATGACCTACAGCAGTGCTTCTCAAACTATCTGATGTGGCAGACTGGCAATTTTTTTTTCCAGCGGGCCAGGGACTGGTGCCCGGTTCAGCCGGTGGTAGCAACTGCGTGTAACAGCACTATGCAAATGTGCGACCAGCTGTTTCTTTCTCTTTCCTTACCTCGCATGACACGACGTCACCTGGAGTGTTGGAATGTACAAACTGTGGCGCTATGACATATCAATGTTATGCTTCTGAAAATATATTTCTTTCTTTCCTGGCAACTCTCTGCGCACTGGCGACCAGTGGCCGGTCTACGGACCACCACTTTGAGAAGCACTGACCTACAAGACTCTCTGCAGGTCCATAAATTTTGTTATGGAGAGATGGTGGCACTTAACATTGCTGCCTGTCCCCCACCAGCAAATTTCCAAACCCCCACATGGCTGCATCAGGCTGCTGCATTGGTCCCTAGCCCTGTGTGCAGGGATCAGGTCCCAGCCACCTCCACCCCATGTAGTTGGATTGGGCCTTGGCTGAGCTGTTTCCAAGCAGCTGGATTAGGCCCAAGCTGGGCCAGTACCATATACAGATCCAGTCTATGGACTGGATTAGGCTCACAGACTAACCTGGCACCACTCGACTGACCCACAAGGCAAAAAATGTTGGGCACTACTGAGCTAAATGGCTTGTGTGGTTTGCAAATCATGATCTGTGTTTTTTGCAAACCACGGAAGCCAAAATTCAGAGTAGGACCTCACTACTCCTGGATATAACAAGTTTATTTGGTGAGGTGTATGGATGCCCGGTGCTGAGATGCTAGGAGTTGTATTTTTAGACCCTTTTTTCCAAAAAGTTAGTCTTTCATAGACCAACAGAGAATGGTTTACCTGGTCAAAGGAAGTCATTCAGTCTCTTAAGTATTTTACCTCACTATCATGTTTTCCAAAGATGCATACAAATGCATGGGGCTGCTGGGAAATGGAGTCCAATGACAGCCGTATCCAGCCTACCCTGTTATACACCCCTATGGTATCATGGTTTTGATGCACTTTGTAGTGCATTGAATTAATGCCTGTCCGTACCCTATGCTTCCTAAAGTGATTTTTGCTTCCACAGGATGTTAAAAAAAAAAAAGCTCAGTTTACTATGATCCTCTCTTAACATTGTATATAATAGGAAAATAACATTTTTAAGTTTCCATTATTATTACCAATTCAGTCACCTAATTGCATGATTTTGCTTTAGGGAGATAATCAGGTGTGTGCAGTTGTGTACAGCTTATGCTGTTTCTACTTTTTAAAGAAAACCATCTCAGATGGCCATGCTATTCCAGAAACACAAATCTTAAAGGTTCGCTTTAGGACAGGGGTCTGCAGGACTCAAAATCCACTGACCAGATCTGGCCCTTGAAATAGTTTTATCAAGCCTGGGAAGCTAGGATGTTGGCAGCAGTTTGGTGGCAAAGGGATCTGTGGGGGTACTGGGTTGCAAGCAGCAGTCTGCCTTTAGACCAAGCTTTGTTAATTTGTCCCACTAGTCCTAAAACATTACTGATCTTTTAGGAGGCAAGATGACTAGGGGATAATGAGCTATAGAATGATAATGATAATGAGCTATAGAGCTTCTCATATGCAAGCGTTAAGTTTAAAATGGAATTCAGGGTTATGAAGACCATGTTGCTGTTTGGTGGCAATTGAAATGAGTTATCTTACTTTTACTCTAAGTCTAGATCACTTAAATTATAATCACAAGAAGCACCTGGGCTGGCAACTGTTCATCAGCCAAATAGAAGCTGTCTTATTCTCTCATCCCTTTCTGTTAAGTGAGGCATGTGAGTGAGTGTGTGTGGGGGGAATGTGCACTAAGTCTGTGCCTGCTGTACCTAGTATAAAGGAACAGGTAACCAGAGAAATGTAGTCACAGGTTGGCCAAAGCTTTCATAGACACTATATTCAGGATTTTATTTAAAAGGAATCTCATGCTTTTTTTTTTTTTTTTAAGTTCATACAAATCTTTGAAATAAACTTTAAAATGTTATTTCCTGTAAGCTAGGCAGGTTTCTATATGCTGCCAAGTCTTAGCTGTGACTTCCTTAAAATAGCAGCCTTTTTAAGGGGTAAACTTCCTACAGTTGCTTTTAGCAATGGGGCTGCTTTGCTGTGATTCCATTTGCATTTCTGCTATGTTTCTGATTAATTATGTCCTCTATAGAGCTAGAAAAAGTTTTGGTTTTTTTTGGGTGTCTGTCATTTGCAGCAAGTCTCTTGCATTTGACTACATGCTGGGCTGCAGGCCATGACAGAAGAATTCATCCCATCACAGAAGGGCTTGGAAATGTTTGTGTGCTACCACACTTCTAAAGCACTTCACAGGTGTAGATCCTGGGGAAAGTGTTAGGTGTACCAAGGATAGCTGCACAGTGTTCCCCCTGTCTTAGTCTGGTTAAATATGCAAAAGAATAATTTTGTCCTGTCTGGCAAGGTTTAGAAGTCATTTTTACTTTACTAAAAAAAATAATTTAAAATATAATTAGTATAAATTAGCATACTAAAATAGTGCCTGAAGATTAAACTTCTAATAGGTCATATGTAGGCTTGGCAGAATTCAATTTTTATTCTTTTAATAATTTTGACGGCTAAAATCAGTGTTTATCTTTAAGCATTTATTTAAATTTTTATTTAAATTACCAACAAAAAGATATTCCACCCCCTGGATGGGGAGAAAAAAAAAGACCAAGAAAACACCAAAAAGTGTGTATTCTTTCTAATTGGAGCCTTTCTGTCCACATAGCAGTCTCATCAGTCATATTTGCTGAGTGCCTTGAGATATTATATTAACCTCTCTACTTAGCCTCCTTTTACAGTCTCTCTCCAGTTCTCTGCAGCTGAGTTGTCCCACTCGGGCATCAGGAACTCCCTGCCTCAGCTTTGCACGCCTTCCTCCACGGCCCCTGCTTCCAGTCTGCCTTGAATACTCCCCCCACCCCAGGCTTTGGGTAGGGACTGAAGTAGCCTGTTATCTCCCTCCAGCTTGCTTCCCTCTTTAAACAGAACAGCCGTCTATACTCTGGCCTGCCACTACCTTCTGTCCTTCCCGCTCTTCTTTGATTATTAATGGTGGAAATAATTTTTCATTGGTTTGTGAGTGTGAGGTGAAATCGGTGTTTACCTATTAAAAAAAAATTCTGCCAACCTAGTCATATGCTGTCATTGGTCAAACCCAGATCAAACAAGCTTGGGACTTATTTATTCCTCTGTGACCTGCTCAACCAATTGAGGGACATTTTAGGTTTTGTTTATTGTTATGTTATAACATCAAGAGAAGGCTGAGGGGGATCTTGTGGCAGTATACAGATTCACTTGGGGGGGCACAGCAGGGAATAGGAGATGCTTTGTTTACCAGAGCACCCCTTGGAATAACCAGGAACACGGGCCACAAGCTGAAAGAGAGCAGATTTAGGCTGGACATCAGAAATAACTTCTTCGCGGTTAGGGTTGCCAGAATCTGGAATGGGCTTCCAAGGGTGGTGGTGCTTTCCGTTACCTTGGGGGTCTTCAAAAAGAGACTGGACAAGCACTTGGCTGGGGTCACATGACCCCAGCACTTTTTCCTGCCCAGGGCAGGGGGTCAAACTCGATGATCCATTGAGGTCCCTTCCAACCCTAGCATCTATGAATTGCTGCTAATTTCCTTTTGCCATTCTGCCAAGTCAGAATCTCATTCTGCATGCATCCATGTCCTGGATATCTTGAGCAGTGGTTGCCAACATACTAAATTATTTGCTGGTCCCGTCCTAATTGTTCCAATTGCACATACTGTGAACAAATCTAGAATATGTACTAAAGTTTTCTGAGATAGGAATAATGTGCTAATT